CTTTTTACCGTAGTCGTGCGAAACATTCTGTTGTATGGTTTAGGTCAACCGAACATGATATCTTCAACGATACTTATTACGCTACTGCTGCTAGGTAAGCCCTGACTGGGAATGTTTGCAACGATATGCGATCAGTGCAATACGCTTTGTTACTTCTAAGTAAAATGTTGATTCTGCCATACAGGATATGCCCAGGGCGGTCCAATTGCAGTAGAGTTCGAAGTCGCGCAAGACACACCGTTCGAAACTACAATTGACCCTGCATTTGCAGCTACGGTAAGCTCACATCTTTTTGAATTATCACTAACTGCACAGTCGGTCACACTTAATGATACGAATGCGGAGCTTCCTGCTTGTACTGCTACAACAAAAGACTGCTGTACGAAAATGCGTAAGTTCCGCACCAACGGCGTTTAAGAAACAGCTTATTCTAAATAGATACCTTAAATAAACATTGCTGCCATAATGTCATAAAATGCCCGCTATCCTATGTATGCATTTTAGCGACCTCCTTAGTGGAAATCACCATCGAAGACAAGACCCTATGGGAAAGCGTGCAGTTTTTGGTTGGTACAGATATTAAGGCCACCATCACAATTGCTGACTTGGAGGCAGGAAAACCGGCAAGCCCAGTGACTCCAGCACCCCAAGCTAAATCACAGACGAACAAAATCGATAAAAAAGTTATCAAAGTTCCCTGCGTGCCAGGAGTAAGTCCAGCAATTTCAGCTTAGCACACCTCTCGAATTACGGCATGTTTCTCGCAGCATACTCTCGTTCTTTTATGATTACTGCCGTGTAACCTGCAGTTTTTATTTTCATTTAGAGTATGATGCTTGTAAAAAAGAATGCGAGAAGCGCCCCAGATAATAATGAAGTAAAAGTAAGCGACACATGTCCAGCGACAAGCAATCAGAATCCCAACGGCTGCATTATGATCAAAGATAGTAAGAAGAAATTTGGTGTTAATGTTTTTAGTCTTGACTGTTTGCGGTTTAGCTGTCTTTAACTCACAAACACTCATTCGTGTCACCATTCATTTTACCTTGTAGATTACTATCCTGTCTACGTGAAGGCCGACATGCAAAAGGTACCGCGGCTTCTTACAATAACGGGCGGGGAAGGCCAAAAACTAGAAGCCACCTTCAAGCCTTCTGCAGCATCATGGATGTCGCACTCCGTTGCGGTCATTCTCGCCAGCCTGGCTGTCGTGCATCTCGTGCAGTAGACGCCGAAAAATGCAGCTGATCTTGCTGGATCCAAGAGGATGTAGTGTTAGCATAGATGTAGTCAAATAAAATCCTCTGATGTTGCGAATATTTGTTTTTTTTTTCAAGCCATCTTGAAGCACACTTTTGGTGGTTGTCTTCCCGTTGTGACGTGTACCTTTGGGGCCTGGGAGCTATGCACTTACGAAGAAACCGCCTACTCTGACGTCGAAAGTGCATTGTTTTATAGAACAGTACACGCGATTCAGCCTGTCGAATTCGCACTTGGTGTAAACAAACTACCATTTGAAAGTTGGTAAACGTTCGCAGTTGAGGCTTCAGTGTACTGAAAAGGAGTTTGAAGAATAGGAAAACGGTTGAAGCCATGTAGAAATGGCCTGCACCTGATATGGCTCACGTATGTTTTTTGAAAGGCCCAATTATTCCACGTGTTGAATTTCTGCAAGCGTGACAAATTTTTTGCGGCTGCGTGATAAGTTTGTTGTTTGTTGTTTTACAGCAAAATATGCGAAAATTCGAAGGTGTATTAACCGCTGTTATGCCTTGACATACTGCGTCACGCCAGATTTTGGAACGATACTTGCAACAGCACCGAATCAGGGGCATTATTTTAATGATCGCGAGCCGGCAGATTACAATCATATGTAACTCACTACGTTCGCCGTTCTTGGATCGCCATGGATACTCTTATGACGTTGTTGCAGCTAATATGGACAAACTCATTAGGGACAAAGCCAGTTTACTTCAGCCGATGTATGACCCACATGCAACGGTGGGCAGATAGCTTTACTCTTTGCTCATCCATGCAAAAACCTCATTTTCAATGGTAGAGATCCGGCAAGACAGATACACAACATACAAGTACCTCGATGGCGATAAATATGTCACGTCTGAGGTTATAAAATAAAGAGCTAATCCGGCTAGCAGTGTCGATTCGGGAGACGATGTCATTGTTTTTCTGTCCATTCGTCAGCATTATCAGCCCATGATATTTGAAGCTATTGAGGCCTATTGAATCCTGGTCTGGTGGAAATCAATGTGTGCTTCCACGTTTATAACTTACCCTTCGCAATGCTGAATAAGTTCCCAAAGGCTGTTCGATAACAAAGCGAGACCATAAGTATACATCTCGTGACACTGACCGTCATCGATTATTCTGACTAATATAATTTTACAGCCGGTTATACTGCGTGCACTCTAGCCAGTTCGTTTCGCGTGTGTGTCAGAACGCATCGATTTACAAATGCACAGAAAATGAGCAAATACATCTGGACTTGCCTTGTACCATGAATATACCGAAAACCGGGGATAGAGGGAAATAATAATAATTTAAAAATACATTATCACATTTCGGCTTTTAGAAACACACTGCCTTTGGCAGTTATAACTTTCGTAAAAGGGGCCAGAGTTCTGGTGACTCAAGCAAACTCTGTCTCCTCCATGATATCACCAACCCCCCCCCCACTATAACCCGTCTGAGCTGAACACAGTTTTATCGACCTAGGCATACGCCGGCAGAAGTTACAGAAAGAAAAAAAGAAGAAAGAAGAAGAATGCTATATTGAGGATTTTACAAACCTGAATTTT